TGCCAAGAGGGGATTAATCTATAATAGCTTGTTTGTGATTTTTCCTTTTATTTCAGTTTATGTAATTAAGGAGTTCCCAGGACTGTTTCACATGTTTTTTGTTCATCAAAACATACTTCTCAAATGTTATGGATATGGAATCCAAAAAATAATCCAAACCGGTTTTGGAACAAAATTGATAAATGCAACCAAATCTAATACTTAGCTGCTCTAGGTACTTGGTTGTCAATACTGTACAATACTTTGTTCTGTCCACTTTGTACCCTCCTCATTTTAATGTCTGAATAAATCCTGAACACACATCTAATGAATGACATGTTCTCAGGTGTACCTCAGTTTCTGTACTGGGAAGTGTATGATGAGGGCGAAATCCTGGTTGTATTTAAGTCCATTGGAATTTTGCCATTATCTTCAATAGGCCCAGAATCTCATCCTGAGTGTGTGTGTGTGTGTAATGGGAGAAAAATAGGAGATAACAGAAGAATACATATGTTCTTCGTGTTAGGAACCCAAATTGTGGGTGCAAAAAGTTTAATGGAAGTATATAACAATACATTTTTTTCTCAACTGGTACTGTAGTGATGGGAACCAGAAAAATACCTAGGTAAAAGATTTCTCAAACAGAGTTTGATATAGATGCTAACACATGTGCTCCTATTTTAGTCTAGATTTATGCCCATTCCAGATTGAGCAGATCCTTTCTCTGGAGCATAGGAAATGAAAAGCCAAATAATAGTTTAGAAAAGCCGGGTGTCATAAAAATACAAAAAGAAAAGGAGTACTTGTGGCACCTTAGAGACTAACAAATTTATTAGAGCATAAGCTTTGCTCTAATAAATTGGTTAGTCTCTAAGGGCCACAAGTACTCCTTTTCTTTTTGTGAATACAGACTAACACAGCTGCTACTCTGAAACCTATAAAAATACAAGAGTCCTATTTTCTCCAGGACGATGCTCTCTGTGCCAGTGTTGCAGTATTGACACGATGCATCTTATTATAATGGATTATACAAATTGACATTATACTAAAATAAAAAATCCTCACCTGAATTCTTAACATAAGGAAAACATGATTTTCAAAGACATTTCTGGCTGCCAATTCCAATAAAACTGGCTGTAATACACACCTGGGAAAACTAGGTAGGCTATTTGAAATGTAAATGTATGTAGTAGGAGAGTGTAACCTACAAGAGCATTTTGTAGGCACTTAATGCCATGTCAAGCAAATACCACGGTAGGATAAATTTATCCACAGTGCTGTTAAACCAGCAAATCCAAAACCCAATCTGAACACTTGCCTGGAGAGATGAGCAATCTGTTTGTAGGGCATAACATTGGTCAATACACAAGGTGTCTGATACCCTTTCACATAAACGAAAAAGTACATTTAAGTGTGTATAATATAATCCATGTGAGGCTGCCTTCCATCTGAAAGAATGAAGGGAGATGTGTGACTTAGTACCTTGCCATTCCTGGGATCGGAGTTGTTGCTGAATCCCCTGTGTTCAAACTGAGCACAACACATCTGGCTCCACAATCCAGATTAAATTCTAGATTGGTCAAATCAGGAAAACCTTGTAAAGGATCCTAAACCAAAACCACAGAAATCACATTTTGACCTCAACAGTATGTGATGCTTAGAATTGCCACAGATAGGTGTTTGAGGACTCCAAGCAGAATATGGGCTCTATTTGGACCAAACATGCAAGTACTATGATTGCATCTACAGAAGTCATTAATTGAGGTAGTGATGTTGAAGTGATTCCCTATGCACCCAACTGGAGTTACAGAGTTAGTCTCTGTGTAGATGAAAGATTAAAGATATCATCCAAGAACTGGGAGCTCATCTTAAGTAACATACAGAAAATATTAATAGGTCTGTGTAGGAAGGAGGGTTCTGCTGAGATTTCTGCATAAGATTTGTTGGGCATCCTCTCTGCTCAAATCAGAGTCAAGAAAGTTGAGCATTTTTGAAAATAGACTGGGATTACAAAAATTCTAGAGGGTACTTCTGTTCATGTAAGGTAGGAGTATCCAAAGGTCATTAAATTTTAGCCTGCAATAAAATCAAGGTCAAGGGGGCAGTATGGGCAGTTTAGTAGATAAATATACAGTCTCCACTCCAGTAGTATCTCCCCACTGAAGAAAGAAACCATAAGCACTGTAATTACGTGTCTTCAACTGCTTCCCTTATCTTCATCCCACAAGGAAATTACTCCAGAATTCTTTCACTCACAGTGCTGAGTAGTATGGAATAGGTGACTTGGCAGTCTCATGACATAGAAAGACTGTTCCTGCAGGATTCTCTATAGCACAGCAAGGACAATCGACAGCATTTTGTGCATTTGATGTCTCTGAGTCCTTTTGTTCTTCTGGTGTAGACGCATCCAGTGGGTTGCATTTTTGGGATTCAGCCAGCATGTCATAGTTAGGTAGCAAATGCTGACCCCTTCCTCCCACTGCCTGATTGTCTTGCTGTGCAGTCATGCCCAGACTCTACCAACTTGGCAGAACATAAAATGCTACAGTGAAAAGGTGATCACTAAAGTAAGAGGTTGGGAGGAATTACTTTAGCCAACTGAATGACACAGACTGTGACCTCTCATCCCTATCATATTTGTAATGTTTTCCCATGTCCTCTCCAAATGGGAAGGTGTAAAACACAGTAATGCTGGGAATTGGTTGTACCTCTCCCATGCAAATCTTCAGAGGCATTCTGCCTGCAGAGCATACAGGTATGCACTACACCTCTTGGAATAAAGATTGGGAATGTTCTGAAAAGAGGTGCTTGCATCTCCTCTTTGGAAGTATAATGTATCCTTGCCCCACATCTCTGCAATCTCTCAGTCGACAGTGTTGCTAAGTCTTGTGATTTTTATTGAGAGTCTCGCAATATTTGTTGCGTTTTTAAATGCTCCAGTTTCTGGAGTCATGGGATTATATGAGCATTTCACTGCTTTTTTTTCTTTTTCTTTTTGTTATTTTAAAGCAAAGTTCTATTCTTCATCATTGCAGAAAAAAGTTGAGAAACGTGACCTGAGGATCAGAATAAAAAAGAACCTCACATGTATTATTTTGTTTGGCACAAATATCATGAGGGTTTAAATCTGATGATTTTTGGAGACCTGTCTCATGATTTTTGAACACTTTGGATTGGCAATATTGAGTCAGTCTGGCAGGTGGCAAGACTATAGCCTATACCATTCCCTTTGGAGTGTCTGTTACTTCTGGCAGCAGTAAGGCTATTGTTTCCCCAGTCTTTCCTTTCAGGAAAGGACTGTGATGGTGGCTGTCTGGTACCAGTCACTGTCAGGTCTAGGCTTGATATTTAGATCATCTACATACATCACTCAGGGCTGTGAAAAATGTCATGCCCTGTGTGACATAGTTAGATCGATGTAAGTCCCAGTATAGTCATGGCCAGGTTGATGGAAGAATTCTTCCATTGACCTAGCTACTGCCTGTCAGAGAGGTGGATTAACTACAGCAGTGGAAAAACCCCTCCGTTGATCTACGACGTCTATACACTACAGTGCTACAGTGGCACAGCTGTAGCACTATAGCTGTGCCACTGTAGCAGCTGTAGTGTAGACATGTCCTCAGAGACAGGATGATGGATAGGATGGACCTCGGGTCTGATCCATTGTGGCAATTCCTATGTTCTGATGTGTACAGTGGGGGTGCTTGCATTTTCTTCCTCTACATCCTCCACTTGTGACCTTTACTAGGCTAAGCAAATGTTTCAAGCCCCCCTTCAGGAAAGCATCCACATTCAGGACAGCACTTAAGCACGTGCTTAATTTAAGTCAGTGGTGTTTAAGTGCTTTACTGAATTTGGGCCTCAGTTAGGGCAGAGTAAAGACAGTCAACTTATATGAGTTCTGAGACCAACTACATTAGATAATATTAGTCCATTAAAAAGTATTAATCTATAAAATGTGTGATCTGTTTTAGACATTGTGCATAGAAAGACGTATTTTAATAATAAAGAATCTGAAAATAGGGTTCCAAGCAAAAGGCAAAAGCGCAAGGTGGGGAGGAGTAAGGCTAATGATATAATTAGGCAAAATGCTAAGGATGGGCAATAAACCTTTAGAGAAAATGGGACAGTGATGATAAAAATGTATATACCATATTCTTTGCCTATGCTTGATCTGCATTCACATGCAAATGCGTCATTCACATTTGGTTTCTCAGTGTTGCCAATTGCTGCTATTTTATATTGTGACTCTTATAGTACTTGGTGTTTTTCTGAAAGCCCCAGCTCCCAAAGTCACGTCATTGTGTGAGAATGGCAGCTGGCACTGAAAAATGAAGAGGGTTTCTATCCCTCATTGCTATGGAGGAAAGTATGAAAAAATGAACCCTGAAGATTCAAAAACCAGAAGACAATTAAAAAGAACCCCAAATAGATTTTTTTTAAAAAATATGATTATATTTAAGCCAATCTTATGATTTTTGAGAAAGCCTGACTCATGATTTTTCACTGCTTTCTCATGGCAATACTGGTTTCCATATAAAAAATTATTAATAATATGTAGTGTGAAGTCATAATTTGGAAGAAAAGGCATGTTATAGACCCAGTAGCTGATAATATGTAAGGATAGGGAGCCAGGTGCACAGGCAATCTGCAAAATCGTCCTGCCCTTCAGCAGCTGACAGAATCGACATTGTGTTGTAATATTTATTTTAAATGTTTTTTTAAAGAGCATGTAAATATTTCTTTAAAAATAAAAAGCTGATTGTACTATTTTAAAAATCCTTATTACTTTTTAATCACATTTTAATTCTCTTCCTTTTCTCTTTCGTTCGCTCTTTCTTGAATCAGTCTTCCCTGGGGTTTATTGTTTTTTGGTTGTCAGCTTTCCCCAGTTCAGAATTGTAGCGTTTGTTCTTCAGTTTCTTGACGCAAATCCTGCTGTCGCCTAATGTGTAGTTTAAAGCAGCCCTTTGTGTGGCTGAAAGAAATTAGCTAAATAGCACTGTTTTAATTAATTTCAGGACCGCCTCTTTTTCGTCATGGAATATGTAAATGGTGGAGATCTAATGTTTCAAATTCAGCGCTCACGCAAATTTGACGAGCCTCGATCCCGCTTCTATGCTGCAGAGGTCACATCAGCACTCATGTTTCTTCACCAACATGGCGTCATCTACAGGTACTCTTTTGATTAAGAATGAAGTATTCTTGAGAGCTGGGGGTGAATTTGGCTGTAAACCTCTGTCTCTTAGCAACCAGATTTAGATTAGTTGTTTGTTCCAATTTGCTTACATAGAACTTTTTTTGGCAGTTTATCATTCAGAATGTTAACATTTGAATAGTCTCTGCAGCAGTCGCCAGCTGTGTGTGCCAGTTTTGTATTATAGTACAAATAAAGCTTTTTGAAAAGCTTGGCACATTCTGACCTAGGGGTGAACTTTTTGCAGATCAGCGCAATCTCTTCACTTTCCTCTCTGTGCCATAGATTTCCTCTCGCTTTCGAACTCCCTGCCACTTCCTGAGTTTGTTTGTCCTACTTGTCTCCAGTCTGATAGAATCAGGATAGTAGTTTGCAATGGCCTTTCTTTTTAACTGTTAGGATGAAGTCTCAATCCCTAACAGGAAGTGGCTCTTTGCAGACAATTTGGATTTGCTTGTTACTGCCCAAAGTTCCCATCTGAACAAAAACTAAACTAAATCACTACCCTTCCAGTTTAAAATAAAACAAACCAAACCAATTTATGAACATTTTTGTTGTGCTGTGGAGAATGCATTTAAGAATAAATATTTATTATTAGAAATGAGGAACCACTTGGGAAATTTTCACCCTGTTATCCATATGTTTATTAAGTCCTTTATCTTGTCGTTTCACCCTTCCTCTCTTTTTAAATTATTTTTGGCAGCCTGTCACCACTTGCGATAAATCTTGCCTGCCTGAAGCAAGCAGCATAGCTGTAGGTTTTGGGATGTGGGTCTTTTAAACCTTATTGAAATCTTTAAGTCTGTTGCGGGCCATGGATATATATTAGAGTTTCTGATATTCCTACTCCCAATCTCAAATTTTCAATATGACTTATTTTAGGGGACCTACATTTTTTATGTGAAAAAAGTCTATCTGAGGACATGGAATTTAAAAAATTGATGAACTCATATTTAAAGATGCTGCGTTAGAGCTTCTTGGAAAATGGACTCAGTGAGAGCTAGAGATGGCCAACCCTAGGACTGGTCAACATTTTTCTGTCAAAAAACTGTTTTTTTATAGAAAAGTGGGGTTTTGACTTAATGAACATTTTCACAGAAAAGTGTCTGCTTTCCATGGGCACTTTCAACTTCCCATCAAAAAGTGGAAAAGTTTCATTTTTTGATGATCAGTCAAAATTTTCCATGGAAAGCAGACACTTTTCTTTGACAATGTTTATTGGGTCAAAAAACAGTTTTTTGACAGAAAAGTGTTGACCAGTCCTAGGATTGGCCATCTCTAGCTGCAGTCGGATGTCTGGCTGATCCACAACGCTGACAATCAGGTTGTAAGTTTTGCAGAAGTAAAATCAGTTCATCAGATACAATTTGGACCCTTTCCAACCCCTCTTCTTCTGGGGTTTAAATGGTTCCAAGTGCTCACGCCCTAAATACATATCTTACCTTTGTTGCCTATGTAAGGACTCTTCCACCCCGGTTTATTTATTTCCAAAACAACACATCAGTAGGGTTTAGGTAACCCCCTCTGAATGTGTCAGAATTTCATAAATTGCCTTTTTTGGGGGGAGGGGGAGGGAAGGGGAGGAGTTTGGTGTCTTAACAAGTGAAGGATTTTGAGGATTAGTTCTTCTAAATAGGCTATTGTTCATTTCTCAGCACTGGTAGCTGGAATTTACACCCTGAGTAATTAGCAGTTAATTTACTGATTTCAGTGAACCAAACAAAAAGGTCACTTTTCAGACAAATTACCTGCAGTGTGAAGAAAATCCAAATTGATAAAATTACACGACAACTTCCTGATATGGATATGTGTAATAACCTTCTCTCTACTCCTTCTCTCTCATATGTCAAGCCATTGGGATTTGGCTCTGAACTATACTTTATCACTGTGTACACACTCATTTTAACGATGCCTTTTTAGCACACTCTAAACACTGATGAGTGAGCAATGCTCTGTGGTTTAAAGCTCGCTGAGTTAGTCTCAACTTCTTACTCAGTAGCCTATACTGCCATAGCTCTGGCACACTGTAGTAAGCCATGCTGTGGTATTAAAATAATTGGTGGAGTATTTGTACTAGGGCTAGTTTCAGGGGAGACAAATGAGAAGAAAAAAATGTGGGTTCTGAGATGAAAGCAAGGAAAATTCACTAAGAACACATCCCTTCCTGCTGCTTTATTTTACTACAGTTTCTTTGACCTGGACATTGTTTTATTCCTAGTAACTATTAATTTCTCACCTGAAGGTCACTGAGAACCATAACAACATATAAAAATATACATTTCAATTACTTTTAAAAAACAATTGAAGATCTCTAATCCATAATATCATCATAATCATCGACTCATAGAAATGTAAGGCTGGAAGGGACCTCAAGAGGTCATCTAGTCCACCCCCCACCATCCATCCCCTGCAGTGAGACAGGACCAAGTATGCCTGAATCATTCCTGACAGGTGTTTGTCTAATCCAGGGGTGGGCATACTTTTTGGCCCGAGGGCCACATCTGGGTGGGGAAATTGTATGCAGGACCCTGAATGTAGGGCTGGGGCTGGGGGTGCAGGAGGGAGTGCGGGGCATGGGAAGGGGTGTGGTGTGCAGGAAGGGGCTCAGGGCAGGGGGTTGAGGTGCAGGAGGGGTGCGGAGTGTGGGAGGGGGCTCAGGGCAGCGGATTGGGGTGCGGGATGCAGGAGGGGTTCAGGGTGTGGGCTCTGGCCTGGCGCCGCTTACCTTGAGCGGCTCCAGGATGGCAGCGGCGCACAGCAGGGCTAAGACAGGCTCCCTGCCTGCCCTGGCCCCTTGCCACTCCCGGAAGTGGCCAGTGTGTCCTGACAGTGGCTCCGCCGCGTGCTGCCCTCACCTGTGGGTTCCACCTCCGAAGCTCCAATTGGCCACGGTTCCCCATTCCTGGTCAATGGCAGCTGCATGGGGTGGTGCCTGCATGTGAGGGCAGCACACGGAGCCCTCTGCTCCCCCCTTCCCCAGGGGCCAAAGGGATGTGGTGCTGGCTGCTTCTGGGAGCAGCGCAGGGCCAGGGCAGACAGGTGTAGGCTGCGCCACGGGGCTGGCAATCCTGCAGGCCGGATTGAAAGCCCTGATGGGCCGGATCCAGCCCACAGGCTGTAGTTTGCCCTCCCCTGGTTTAATCTGTTCCCTAAAACCTCCAATGACTGGGATTCCATAACCTCCCTAAGTAACCAGTTAGAAAGATTTTCCTAAAATCTAATCTAAATCTCCCTTTTAGCAATCTGAGCGAGACTTCTTGTCCTGCTCTGACGAGGCATGGAGAACAATTGATCATCATCCTCTTTATAACTACCTTTCACGTTGAAGACTGTTATCATGTCCCTGCAGTCCTCTTCTCTAAACAAAATATGCCCAATTCTTTCAGCCTTTCCTAATAGGTAATGTTTTTCAAACCTGTTATCATTTTTGCTACTCTGGACCCATATATTTACATCTTTCTTGAAGTGTGGTGCTCAAAACTGGACACAGTACTCCAGCAGGCCTCACCAGTGCTGAGTAAAGTAGAACAATTACATTATGAGTCTGAAATATGACACTCCTATTAATACGTCACACAGTGACACTGGCCTTTTTTTCAACAGCAACACAATATTGACTTATATAATATACTATAAGAAAAGGTCATGACTCATACATGGTGTGAACAGCCCTTGAGGAATGCTAAAATGTTTGTTAGTATTTAACATGCCCCAGAATGCAGTCATCTTTCAGGGAAAAGATCCATCATCATTGTTTGAAACATTGCACTGACTCACTGGAAAGAAAAAGGCATTTAGTTTTAATTTTTTCATTTATATCTCCAAAGTGGTGGGGTGAGCTAGCAAAAGTAAAAAAAAAAAAAGTACTCTTTGCCCTGGATTAACCACCAATCAAAATACCTAATCTACCCTCAGACACTCAAATGAAGTAATACACACTTCCTGTATAGTGATAGCTCTACCAAAGACAGTGTGCTATGAAATTAGTGGGTGTTCTCCACGGTGGGAAATGTTGCTTATATGGGCAGTATTTCAGGGCATGCTTGGACCATGTTTGAAGGGAGTAATGTTTCAAAGTACCTAATATGTCTTCAGGCCTCTGCTTAGCCACATATTTGGAAGTATCTGTTTGGAGCTAAACATAACTGTCTATTTCCAAAAGCGCAACTCTCTAGCTAGTGCTCTGGCTTGTTGATTAGATTTTTAGAGTGTTACAAGGCTAGTTAGTGATGATCTTCTTCAATAGCCAGTATTATCCTCATTTCCTCCAGAGTTAAAAGGGAAAGCAAGTTTCCCATTTGAAAAAAAGAAATTCAGCTCTAAGATCATGCCTTTGCAATTGGCTCAACAGCAGTTTCCGGTCTTGTTTAAATTATTTGTGTAATAGAGTTATGTATCTCAATGCTGTTGATCTGATTCTGCTGCTTGTGGTGAAAACAAAGGTCACATTCTCAATTTATATAAATATTCCCATGTAAAGATGTATTGCTGTTTTTTTAAAAAGCCATGCTGTATGATTGAACCTCGATATGCTTTGTGATGTCATTCTAATGAGATTATGGAAGGTCCTCAGTGTAGGGAGTGTGTCTTCCATGTCCTTCAAAGTGCTAAACACACTCTCAGAGCTTAACAAGTAATAAGTTATCTTGAATTATTTTCCCCCACAATCTAGTATTTGATGGTATTTAGGCATATCTGGGACTGATAGTACAAGCAGAGTCAGTCAGGCACTGCACAGACTTACCCATAAAGTTTATAATGAAAGCCCCTTTAGGTCAGCCCAGACCAGCAGCACTCTTGTTATTTGTGCTGTGCCATTCAAACAGACATACCAATTATGAAAAATGGTACCATAACTTCATGACTTGAGTTGAAACCACAACACTGATTTTGCCTGTGAACCCATTGATGAAAGACCATGGACCATTTGACTCCTTAAAGTCAGTCATCAGCAGTTTAATGTACTCTTCAGTGTAGAG